AGGGGGGGGGGGGACCTACGCACAGGTGCCGCACACACACGCACCGGGCCGGTGCTTGCACTTTGAATGCCGTGCCGGCTCCTGCCCGTGTCCGGGTGTGGAGATGCGAGGGTCGCCCCCCCTTGCCCCACCACTTTGTGTGTGTGGAGACGTTTACCTTACCTCACCCTACCTCACACACAGGTGCGGCGACCACGCGGCCCTGCTCGAGGGGCTGGCGGCGGGGAGCGCCGACCTCGTGGTCTTCAACCTCGGCTATCTCCCCGGCGGCGACAAGTCGATTGTCACGACCGCCGAGGGCACCGTGCGCGCGATGAGCGCGGCAGAGGCTGCGGTTGCGCCGGGCGGGTGCGTGAGCGTCGCTCTCTACCCGGGACACGAGGAGGGGTCGAGGGAGGCGGAGGCGGTGCTGGAGCACGCCGCGCGCTTGCCGCAGGGAGGCTGGTCCGTGCTCTCGTCGCAGTGGATCAACCAGCGCTCCAAGCGGAGCGGCAGCCCCGCGCCGTCCCTGCTGCTCCTGCAGCGAATGCACTGAGTGACAGAGCTGGCGCCGTTCTGCTTTGGTGACCCCCCCTTCTTCTCCAGGTTCGTGACCGGTGTTACACGCGATTCACGGTGACAAAACACGTGGCCCCCTTAAATCCTTTAGCGTTTAGGGAGGGAGAGCGGAGAGTGGATTCGGCCAATTCATAAGACTGAGAAATTTCACAATCCGATTCGCGATTGAGCTTTTTTGAGGACAATACATACGGATCATACGCAATCGCAAAGCTGCTTGAAAGCTCACCGAACCAAACGCGAAATGGACGAACTCCACACTCTCTCGCTCTCACAACAGATGAAGCGAAAGAAGACAGAACGCATGGAACACCAACACCATACTAGTCTTTTACTTTTGGTTCTGAATCCAGCTCGCCGTCCAGAAGGAGGAGGTGATCGAGCCATTGAGCTTCCGCGCGCACGCCAGTCTCTCGGGCAGGTCAGGTCGCGCCTATTGACAAGATGCTCGCGGGGGCCTGAGCGGCGCAATTCGTAGCCACCTTCCCCTCCCGTGACTTGGGCCGCGCGTCAATCAGCCGCTCGTCGTTCTCGACAACCTGTGGCCACGAGCGCACCTCGGCGCACCGCGCCGCTGAGTAGAACCGTTGGCTCGCATTGCACTTGAGAGCCTCCAGCCGCGCAATCCGGGCGCGCGGGGCGTCGAAGGAGCACGGGTGCGCGCGCGGAAAGCGATGGGTGCCGGTCTCAAGCCATGGACTGCCATAGATGCGGCCGGCCTCGTGGATATGCACGTGGCGCTTTCTGCTCCTCCTCGCCCACTCGTAGAGCCTATCTAGATCTCCAAGTGTGTGGCCGGTGTGACGCGCGCCAGTCTACTCCACGCGCGGTGCCGATTGGCGAGGTAGATGGGGCCGGTGGCGGCGAGCGGAGACGACCTACCGGAGAACGGACTGCGGTCGCGCGGCGGCACGCTCTCGGACAACATCTATGTCACAGAGCCCTCTGCTTTCTCGGCTACGGCTGCTCTCCGCTCTCCTGTTCTTGTATGTCACGTCCTTGGCCGAGCTCAGGTCCAGTATGAGGGCCGCAAACAGGGGATGGCGCGGAGGAGCCGCCATAAACGCGTTGGGGACGGCCTAGCGAAGTGGCGTCGCAAGCTTTGGGGAAAGGGCGGAGGGCGGGGGAGGGAGGGCTCTCGAGAGATGTCTTCATGATGGCGTTTTGGAGCGCCTCCGACCGGCGTCGCACACATGTCGCATTGGCGCAGGAGCCAATGTCACGCCTGGAGCGGCCGAGGTTGGGTACTTCTGTGTGCTCGGGCGAAGGTGCGGTCTGGATGCGGCGGGCCTGCAGCAGCGGTCGAACAGAAGGTCCTTCTTCTCGAGGTGGCCAAAGGCGGCCACGCCGTTGGTGAGCGGCAGCGCCTATGCTGCTGGCTCGGGAGGCATCGCTCCCGCAGTGGAGGCGAGGGGAGTACGGCCCGCGCCTCGAACGGGCGGAGGCAATGCACGTCCAGGTCAATGTACACGCCGCCGAAGAGGTAGAGGTAAAAGTAGCGGGCGGCATCAACGCGCTTGATATGAGAGTCGTACCTGAAGCGAAGGCGTGGGAGCCCAATGGGAGTCCACACCTCACGTTGGCGTCCTCATTCTGTCCTGCGCACCCGTCGTAAGTGGAGAGGAAGGAGGGAAAGAATGTTTGAACGAGGCGCCGATTAGCGTCGTCGGACCAGAGGAAGAGGGTCCAATTTGCGGGAAGCACGCGAGCACACCGTGCGCGCCAACGCGCGTGATCTGGCAGCAGTGGACCACACGCCTGCCACGACTGGTGCAGCGTCGGCGGCACGATGAGGCTGTGTGCACGGCGAATCCACTCCTCATACTCGAGCTCGAGGAGGTTGGGGCTGGATCCGAGGCGTCTCAGGTGCGCGTCGACTGCGTGCGGCGGCGAGAACACGTGCGGCGGGCTCGGAAGGGCGCCGCCGCTGTCGATGCAAGCGTCGCGCGGCATATTCTACTGAACACGGAGGTGTATTGCAGGCGATTTTACGCTCTGCAAAGGCCCTTCCAGTCTACGCACTCTTGCAGACTCCTGGGACACCTTCTTGCGCCTCCCGGGGAGGAGGCAAATGCTGCTGGGCTTTCCAATCAAACTCAGTATTCACGGTCGTGGCTCGGCGATCTTGAAAATCCGCTGTGCGCTTCTTAGCTCCCCGGCCCTGGATGTGAGGTTGATGACTGCACTCCAAGTGCTCCAAGGGGGGCATAGTCCCATACATCGAGATCTCTGCGGGACACCAGCCAGCCAGTAGATTTGTTGAGTGGAGATCGTAGATGCCGACCGATTAGAGATCTTCCACACACAGCATCTCTCACAAAACTCAGAGATCTTTAACTGAAGATAGAGATCTTGAGCCGCCATCGGCACCTCGAGATCTCAGGCCGGAGACGGAGATGTCAGCGCATTCACTTTCTGCAAAGCCATACATGGCCACGACCCGGCATGCAAGCTCGGTGTAGCCCTGAGCGGGATCACTCCTTTGCAGGTTCATAGAGATCTGGGGCTCACAGAGTCTCGCCGCAATAGCGGCGATACCGACTGACCCAGCGCTTATCCTTGCCAGCCGAGGCTCGCTCGCGACGCTTCATCCATCAGTCCCCGAGTGCCTCGTCAATGTGAGCGCCTCATACAGGCCGGGCGGCTACCAGCTAAATGCACACAAGCGCCTCGCACTCATGCGCCTGTGTGGGCTCGATGACCCCACCACAGCACAGGGCCGGCGCTTACTTGACGGCGCGCTGCGCACGCTGCGCAACACGTTCTCCTTTATCGGCTTGGCTGAGCGCTGGAACGAGACGCTTGGGCTGCTTCACCGGTACACCGGCTGTGAGGAGTGGAGACTCTACAGCAATATGCACCTGACAAAGTCGCATGGGGGCAGAGCACACCAGGTAGCATCCTCGTCAGATGGAACAGGGAAACTCCGAGCCCATCTCAAAGCCACTTGCTCGGCGAAGCTCAGGACCGCCTTTGCGGCCGATTCAGAGCTGTACTGGGCGGCCGCATCCATCTATGAGGAGCAGATTGCTGCTATGCGAGATGTGCACGACGAACGCATGCGCTAGCATGTTCGCGCCTATACAGTACTGGGCCCGCGGCGCTGGCTGGCGCAGAGTCGTGCTGCGTAGCCGGTCGAGCGGCGGTCGCGGAGCATGGGGAACGCGACGGCGAGTGGCATGGGGAACGTCGACTATAATCCCTACTGAACACAGAGGTGTTTTGCAGGCGATTTTACGCTCTGCAAAGGCCCTTCCAGTCTACGCACGTCAGTTACAGAAAACACGCCTGCGTGGATCGCGTCACACCAATCCTCGCTACCCAACGCGGCCAAAGGATATCACCCTCGAGAACCGAGAGAACACCGGCAGAAAAAGAAAAAAACCCGGCGCGAGATCGCACGAGATCGCGCGATTCCGCAGCACCTCGGCGAAGTGGATGGGTTGGGGGCGAGGGGGCGAAAGTGCTCAGTGCGGTAGATGGTGAGCTCGGGGCGCGTGCCAAGACAAAAAGAATATAAACAGCCGGACAGCTGAGCAGCGCCGAGCTCCGCCTCGCGCCGGTGATGGCTTGACGCTCGGCAGCATGTCCATCAGATGTCTCAGTAGAAACGGTTACGCGTGAATCCGATTCAGCTCTGTTTCACTGCTGTGCCGCGTGGGCGAGCAAGACACGTCTTGAGCGGCTACTTGTTGTCAAGTCAAGTCAAGTGACGGTTGCCGCGGTCCTCCTCATCGTCGGCCGCCAGGCCGCCATCACCGATGTCTCGCAGATTCGGTACAACCAATTCAGTGTGACTACCGATGCGAATGGCGCGGTGACCTTCCACGACAACGAGGATGCCCTACCAACACGACATGCTGCAGGAATGCCGTGGCAAAGTCCATTGCCGCCGAGTCTGACTTCCAGCTCTACACTCCTCGCATGACCTTTAACGGGAATCGGCGCCAGATGACCATCACTGCCTCCCGCATGTCGCCCCAGCTCGTCATGGTGCGCTCCAGCGACGGCATCCTCTACTCGGTGGACAGCCCGGCCTCCTACGAATGCCCTGCAGGAGCTGTCGCCGCAACCGCCGACGCCCCCGCCCGGCCCTCCGACACCGCCCCCAGCCCCCCGAAGCCCGCCTCTGCTTTCCGAGAACAAGGCAGAAGCAGATGGCTGCGGCGGTGGCTGCATCGGCGGCATCGTTGGCGGCCTCTCCGGATTGGTCTTCGGCGTCTTTGGCGGCGGGTACGCACCCACTGCCGTGCCTGCCTGCTCGTGCCAATTGCGTCATCACAGCCCGCGTCCCCGTCGCGTGCACAGGATGTGGTACCTGAAGAAGAAGAAGCAGCAGCAGAGGCAGGGCGGCGGCAATGATGTCGAGGTCACGGGGGGCAAGGTCTGAAAAACGCAGCGAACACAGTACGAGCGTAGTTACCCGGCTCTCGTCATATCGCCTGTACGTAGGGAAGGGTCGACAGGACCGGAGCGACCGCAGTGGCGCAGGCCGGATGGACAGGAGTGCTACGTGGAGAGCAGGCTGGCCGGAGTTAAGAGGAGAAGGACAGGACAGGGTGAGGAGACAGGGATGCCGACAGGGAGACCGCCGGGAGAGTAGAGTAGTAGTACCCCCCACCCCCCACCCGCCCCACCATGCCCCTCCCTGAACCCCCACCGCCTGAGGACCCTGAATATGCCCGACGTACTCGGGCCCCGCCACGCGAGAGCGGAGCTGACCTACGGGGCAGTGTGGATGCGATAGTGGTGTGCCACGAGAGTGAGATAACAAGTAAAGTAAAGAAAGAAGCTCCCCGCATACGTTGTCTATGTGTAATGACCGCGCAAGATATAAAGGGTGGCTAAGGGCTCTGCCCGCAAGGCGCCCGCGTCGCAGACGCGGTACCATTGACAAAATCTGCTATACCCCCACACGAGCAAATAGCAAAATCCGAATACCGTGCACGAACTGCGTGATGTGAGCCGTGCAAGCCTTCAGCTGGTGCCAAGACATCCGTAAAATTGAAGCCAAGAACGTCCGCCAAATCCGTGCTTTCGGAGCAACTGGGGACGACACGCTGCGGAATCGGATCGAGCCCATGGAGGAGGAGGGTGCAGTCGGCGAATCGGAGGAGGATGAGGAGGGCGCAGTCGTCGACGTTGGCGTGTCTGACTCAGAGGAGGAGTTGGAGGTGCTCCAGCAACCTAACCTGATCCAGAAGCTCGCCGACGTTGTCAGGTTACGTGCGTCATGCGTGATCGAGCTTGAGGGAGGAGCTCAGCTGACGATTCGGCCGGCCACCCAGCGCCGCCGCCCACCGCCACCCACAAAGCGCCTGCTCTACTATCCCGTACCTGGCTGGCTGACGCTCGCCCCCCCCGCTCCACTTTCCCCTGACCATGCCCGTGATAGCACCATCACTGTCGCCGTCCTGGTTTTGAACGTGGCAGCTAGGCTCTAGGGACTCGGTAGTCGTGACCCGGTGACCGCCCCCTGAGTGTGAGGAGCAGGAGAGAGAGAGCTTTGTGGTGTTGGTGTACGCAATAACGGGACAGGGTGGTTGTTCTCTCCATCTCCCCTTCTAGCTCTTAGCATGAGCTGCGCCCTGTGTCCGACCCCTTTTGCGCAGCAACACCTTAAACTTTCAGGCCCTCCAAATTCGGGTCGGAGCGTAGCGGAGTGGGCCCCGAGTTTGAAAAGGGCGACGGACGCTTGCGTCCTAGCCTCCAACAACGCCTCCCCGGCGCAGAGGGGCCTCCGGAGGGATGCTCAACCGCTCCACGCCACGCCGCTTGCGGCGGTGAGTGAGTATTCTTGATACGAAACCACGACGACACACACCAGTCGACTCGCATCGGTTGCCTCCATGAACGGCGGAGCTATTCTCGCGTCCACACCACACCTGGCTCCAACGTGGACACGCCCATAGCTGGGGACACTACTAGGTCACGCATGGCATCAGAAGTTTGATCTCTGGGCCCCGAAAGGCATCTCTAGCAGCGTCGTTACGCATGCGCCCTCCCCTCCTGGCGCATACGCCTCACGTCTCGACAGAGCGTAAGCCCTTGGCGTGTGACGAGACGAGTTTCTTCGCCATCGCAGCGAGCAGCACACCACTCGCCGCAGCAGCCGGAGGCATCGCCGCAGCACTGTCTGCGCCGCGGTCCCGCACCCGTCGACGAAGCTCCCCCCGCGGAAGACCGCGCGTAGCGACGCCTTGACGATCGAGATGAGCTCGCTTGAAGCTCGCCCACCTACTGCCCCTGAGAGTTGGTTACCGAGTGGGATCAGCTCCCCCCCTTGGGATCGAAGCCGCCACACCTCGCACCCAACATCCCAGGCGGGATCAGAGAGAGACTCCGCACCGGACACCGCCCGGGCACAGACCCCCTACCCGTCGGACTACGCCTGGACCCCTCACAGAGCAGCCCACGCACAGGTCACACGCATCGGCAGATTTGACACCTGGTTCAGGCGTAGACAGCACACACTGGTCACAGTTGCATAGCCCTGCCGGGGGGGACGAGTTCGCAAGGTTAATATTAAAAGAATACAAAGTGGTGACAACCACTGAGTTCTCAGTGGACGAACGAGCGTCGACTGAACAGAAGATGGGTGTCAAAACACCGGTGTCGGAGGCAGGCGATGGCCAGCCTCAACGACGGGATGGCTGCAAAGCAACCGACGCCCCTCTCGTACAAGTCAATCCTCGGTCGTAGTTGCCCATTTCCTCTCAGCATCCTGACTCGCCCCAGCCGCCTCAGCATCCCTTCTCGCACCAGTTCGACGTCTCCGATCACCTCTCTCGCTGCACGACCCACTCTCTCCTCCACAGGTGGTTTTGCCCCACCAAAGCGCTCGTCTCCCAACTCCAGCGTCGTCCACCCCATGAACCTGTCGATCTCCTCGTCGCCCACGCCCTTGTTCCCCATGTACTCCAGCATAAGCTCGTCGTCCTCCTCAGCATAGCTCCCTCCTCCCACCATGTCGCCTCTCGACTCCGCTCCATCGATCCCACTCCGGCCGCTGCTCCCCGCTGCCTCGCTATCGCCTCCGCTCTCCACTTCCATCTGAACTTCTTCTCTCTGCTCACCACTGACTGACTGATTGACCGACTGACTCAAGTACTGATTGACTGAATGACTGCCTTGACCCCACCCTGAGTCTGAAATTCTCGCTTCTCTGTCCACCTTAGCCTTCTTTCTGCCTGTCCTATGCCCAACCCGCCTCCACATCTCCACCTCCTCATCGCATCCGCTCGAGTCTGATTCCGAAATCTCCATCTCTTCGCTCTGATCCGCCTCAGCTTGCCTCCTCTCCTCTCTCACCCGCCGATTGCTCTCCTCCAACGACCACTGAATCGCCTTCTCCTCCCGTTCCTCGCTCCGACGCAGCCATTTCTCCACTCTTCCAGTCCCCTCTCCACTCATATAGCGTCCGTCCAACCCGCTCACCATGTGCTTTTGCACTTCCGCATCCCGAATCGCATCCACCCTCTGTCCGCCCACAAAACATCGCCACCCAAAAGGCCCCATCTGAAGTAAGGTCTCAGCGCTCCGCACCGATCGCGTCTTCTTTTCCTGCACCTTTGCCCTCTCCCTCTTAGCTGACGTCTCCATCCGCGCCTCCTCCCCTCTCGGCACCATCTCCCTCACGGCCCCTTCCACCAAGCGAGCCCCTTGTCCCCGACGGTACAAATCATCTTCGTTCGCACGTACACGATGACTTCCTGTCTCCCTGCGCCGCTTCTCCTCCCCCTGTTGCGCGACCTCCTCTAGCCTCTCCTCGTACACCAGCAGTTCCTCGTTGATATTTCCCCATAGATTTCTCAGCGCCTCCACTACTTTCCTCTCTCCTCCCTCCTCTCCGTCCTCGTCCGATCGCACCATCCCTGCCGCCGCCACACACACACACTCACACACACTCACGCTTGCGGCGGTCCTCTTCCCAGCTCGCGCTGAGGGCCCAGAAGTTATTATACTAGAGAGAGAGAGACTTCGGTGGGACGGACGGAAAACACCCCCCCCTTTTATGCCTGACCCTGGGCATGGCCCCTCGATCTCCTCCTCCATCGCGACGTTGTGCAACTCACCCCGTGAGTACCCGCGGTAAAATGTCTAGATAGCGGCGCTATGACCTATATCTGAGCCCTGGCACCCCTGGCTGTCAGGCTATCAGGTGCTGTCAGGTGATCTGTCGGGGACCGTGTCGGGCTGTCGGGCACTGTCAGGCACTGTCCCGCACGCACGCCTTCGAGGTCAGCTGCGGCCGAGCGACGATCGGCTCGTCTTCTCCGATCGCTGGGCGGTCACTCTCCGGCCCATTACCCGCCTGCCGATCACCTGTCGCCGCGCGCTGGCCGCTCGCCTTCCCCAGAGAAGAACTTTGCCGATCAAAGAGATAAATTTCCGATTTCGTGCACAAAGAGCACAAAGGTGGCACCCTCGGCCAGCTGAAGCTCTCGACTCTTCGACCGAGCTCTGGACGATGCCGACCTCAAACCACCAGCGCCAGCAACGACGTGCCTCGGCTCGCCGCGCATCTGTTGCGACCGACGACGTGCCCGACGCCGTCCCGCGGCCGCAAGGAAGAGGCCCGCGCAACCACTTCTGGGACCCGCGGCCGCCGGGCGTGTGGCGGCACAACGAGTCGAACGAACCGTACCAGAGCAGAGCGGCGCGTCTCGCGAGCGCCCGCGGCCGCCACGCCGCCGCCGTCCGCGGCCGACGGTGGTCGCGAATCAACGCGCCGCGGTGCACCGCTGCGCCTGCTTCCTTGCGCGCCGCTGGACGTCGGCCGAGAAGACCGCTTCCCTCTGGGGACCCGACTCCGCGAAGATCGCGCGCGCGTCGTGAGTGGCGGCGCGCGCGCGATCTCTGTTCCCGGGCACGCCGGTCGCAGTGACATGGGATCCCAGGCTCAAAAGCGCTCAACAGCGAGCTGCTCCTCCTCCTGCCGCCGCTCCGCTCACCGAGACAACTCGGTGCCGCCGTTCTCGCCGCCGCCGCCGCCGCCGCCGCCTCCGCCGCCGCCGCCGCCGCCGCCTCCGCCTCGCGCCTTGCCTCCGTCACCGCCGCCCTCCATCTCGCAGCGGCGCGTCCCTCTGATGGCGCGGGCTCCTCGCTCGTTGGCGCCTCGCGCCCTCGCCGCCGCCCCCCCCTCTCGCCGCCGCTCCGCTCGTGGCCGCCCCATCCCCTGTCAATCCCGCCGCCTCCCCTGCCAATCCCCCGCACCACCGCCGCCACCGCCTCGCGCGTTTAGCGGGCCTTTAAGCTTAGGAATCCTAAATAGTAAAAAATAGGAGGACAGCATAAAGAATTTAGACAATGCAACTCTCTCTCCTATGGCGTCAGTAGGTCAGCCTTGCACGTCGGGTGGAAGTCGGGCGGCGCCTTCTGCGGCACCGGCCTCGGTAACGGCTCCGACCGCTCGACGGCGGACAGCCGATACTTCTCGTAGACGAGCCACTCCGGCGCGTGTCTGGTGGTCGTCCGCACCCCATATGGCACCTCTTCCGCCGGGGCCGGCCGCACCAATGGGATCGCCTCGTCCAGGTATCCCGCCATGTCGAGGTCGCCTCCGGCCGCTTGTCGTTTGGCCTCGTCCGACAGGTACCTTCGGAGCTCCAGCGTGTCGGTGATGTCCCGCTCTCGCCTCTCATTGAACAGCCGGTCCCCGTCCGCGGCTGCTCTCCTCGTGGCCGCCACGCCCGCATAGTCGTGCCTTCCAATTATGGCGTCAACCATGTCGCGCGGGCGGCCAAGCCACCCGTCGCCGTAGATGTCGGCGACCAGGTCAATCGCTATCATCACTTGCGCCCTCGTGCCGGGGTCTATGATCGCGTTGATCGCTACCGCTGTCAAGGTTCCGTGATCGTGGGGTAGCTCCTGCGAGAAGCTGGTAATGACGTGCTCGAACGCCGGTGCCTCACCCCGCATACCCGCGTAGTGCACTGGCAGCTTCGCATACGCTGGCACCATAAAGGGCAGCGCCGCCTCGACCGCCGCTTCCGCCGCGGCTCGTACCGCCCCGGTCTGCCCTTGTGGCACCTCGACCGTCGGTAGTAGCCCTCCTGTCAGCAGCACCGTCGGCTGCGTCGCGCAGGTCGCGAGGCACACGATGAATGCCATCGCGCCTCCCATCTGTCGATTGGTGGCGCCACCGCGCGGCGTGGCGGTCCCCCGGCCGCCGTTCAGTCGCTTGGCATTCTCCCTCCATGCGGCACTGCCGAAGGCGCTACCCGCCGGCCCGACGCCCTCTTCGGGCTCGCCAGCCGCCGGTGGCGCGCCCGCTTTCTCCCCCGGCCCGACGCCCTCATCGGGCCCGCCGGCCGCCGGTCGGGCGCCTGCGCTCTTCCCCGGCCCCGCGGCCCGACGCCCTTATCGGGCCCGCCGCGGGCACGCCGGTCGCAGTGACATGGGATCCCAGGCTCAAAAGCGCTCAACAGCGAGCTGCTCCTCCTCCTGCCGCCGCTCCGCTCACCGAGACAACTCGGTGCCGCCGTTCTCGCCGCCGCCGCCGCCGCCGCCGCCTCCGCCGCCGCCGCCGCCGCCGCCGCCGCCTCGCGCCTTGCCTCCGTCACCGCCGCCCTCCATCTCGCAGCGGCGCGTCCCTCTGATGGCGCGGGCTCCTCGCTCGTTGGCGCCTCGCGCCCTCGCCGCCGCCCCCCCTCTCGCCGCCGCTCCGCTCGTGGCCGCCCCATCCCCTGTCAATCCCGCCGCCT